AACTAAAAGGAAAGCACGAATAGTGACATGTTTGGCTTTAGGGGAGAAGGTTTCCCTGATAGTCAAAACCTCCTCGTTGGGTGAAGCCTTTTGCAATAAGTCAAGTTTTGTACCTCTCAAAGGAGTCGTCAGCACGATTCTTGATTTTGTAGACCCATTTACAACCAATAGGTTTCCGGTGTGAGGGGCGTGAAACAAGATCCCATGTATGATTGCTAATAAGGGCATTTAATTCTGTTTCCATGGCTTAACACCGACAATCATGTTGTATGGCATTAGAAAATGTGGCAAGTTCTTGATAAGTGGAAATATTGCTCATGCAGGATCTGTGTCCCAGAGATAATATGTCAAAACTGACATAATTAGATATGGGTAAGGAATACCTTCCATAGTGGAACAAATGTAGTCGGCCGTCCATACAGGTGGCTGGGAAACTCTGGAAACCGTCGTAATGGAATAATATTTGGTGAAGGAATGTGATGAACCAGATCCATAATTGGAGAATCATCCTAAGTTGGATCCGTAATAGTCAGATCCGTGGTGTTGAGACTACAGAGGTTCATCTGAAGCGGTAGAGTCTACATGCTGATCAACAAGATCAAAATAGGGCTGAGCAATAGGAATGGGAACCATGGTAATGGGAGTGTCTGATGGTGATAGATGATCCAACGGTGCAATTGGTGATGTAGAGGATGAAGTCTCATTGTCGGAGAAGGGAAAAATACCCTTATGGAAAACAACATCTCTGCTAACAAAAAACTTGTTATGTTGGGGATCATAAAGATGATACCCTTTCTGGAGCATAGGATATCCCATGAAAATATATTTTCTGGCACGAGGAGCAAACTTGTCATAGGGACCCACAATGGAGGAGTAACATAGACAACCAAAAACTCGTAAGTAAGTGTTATCATGTTTCTTTCCAAATAGTAATTCAAAAGGAGTTTTACCTCCAATAACTCGTGTAGGCATGCGATTAATGAGATAGGTTGCAGTAATTACACATTTGCCCCAAATGGTGGCTACAGTTTGGGCTTGGTGTTTGAGGGCTCGAGCTACTTCTAAGAGGTGATGGTATTTTCATTCAACAATCCTATTTTGTTGCTATGGCGCTTATAATTTTTTCCTTATATTTAGACCTTCCTATTCCTAAATTATTGTTTTATTTTAGTAGTTCTAATTAAATTAGATTTCTTGTTTTAGAAGTTTTCCATCCTAGAATAAGATTTGTTTTAATTATTAGGTTTATTCATTCCTAACTAGTTTAGGTTAATTCTAGTATAAATTAAGGTCTTTGTAGCCTTTAAGGCAATAAGTTTTTGGTGAATTATTATTTTAATGAATTATTGAGAACATTTTTTGTTATTTCAATTAATTAATCGAGTATTTGAATCTTGATATCATTTAATGGTGGTTATCACATTACAATCTAGTATCTGAATCTTGATACAATTCGATGGTGGTTTTTTGTATCACTTTTTCTCTACAGTTTTTAGTCATCTTTTTTACTGTTTCGGCATCATTTGGTATCAAAGCTTCACGTTTGTTATCGACGGTTGAACATAATCGTGGTCGAGGTCGGCAAGGTTGCAAAAGCGGTCGTGGAGTGGCTCTTGGGGAAGATGTTGTTGATTATCAACATGATCAACGAGATGTAGAGATGGACAATCTGAGGAGGCAAGTTCGAGATCTCCAACGGCAGCTTGCGCAATTCGAGATCCCGATGAACGAAGAGGAGTTTGAAAATACAGTTGATGATGAAATTGTGGTTAGCAATGATGATCACTTCAATGATTATTTTGATGACCATGATGAACCGCCACAATTTGATGATGGTGTCCTTCAAGAAGAATTAATGCATGGAGAAGAAGATTGCTTTGAAGTACACATTGATAATTTTGAAAGAAATTCTTTTGTCATCAATTTTTGTGAAGACGTGCATGATCACTCCAACAAGAAAAAGTTGAAGGAGATTTTGCTTCGTGATTTTGTTTCCAACAATTGGACTGATTGAATGGACGTTATAACTAAGATTGTAAACTTTAAAGTTCTTCAAGCATATTAGTTGGAGATGAATTTAAAAGAATTTCAATTAACGCAAGTTGAAGATGAAGATGTTCGTGCTGGAAATTCGAGGGCGAATTTCCTACTGGTGGGGAGAATGATGTCGAAAATATATTATTAAAATTCTTTAGGAAAAAAATATTATATTATTTTCTTATATTTAGACTTTCCTAAATTCTTATTTTATTTTAGTAGTTCTAATTAAATTAGATTTCTTGTTTTAGAAGTTTTCAATATTAGAATAAGATTTGTTTTAATTATTAGGTTTATTCATTTCCTAACTAGTTTAGGTTAATTCTAGTATAAATAAAGGTCTTTGTAGCCATTAGGGCAATAATTTTTTGGTGAATTATTATTTTAATGAATTATTGAGAACATTTTGTGGTTATTTTAATTAATTCAGTATCCGAATCGTGATACCGTTCGGTGGTGCTTGTTAGGGCGAAAAATCGTCCTTGGCCCAAATAGGAAAACGGGCCTGACAATGAAGAAGCCAAGCCCAATCCCGATCCGGATTAGGTCCATTTGGGACAAGATACAGCCGGCCCAAACTACCTGGATATGAGTTTCCCAATCCCGGCCCATTTCCTAGGTCCATGGGCGAATCCAGGGCCCACGGCCCTCAGGATATTTTCCTATTCCCGAGCAGTCTCCTATTGGAGCTCACCTTCCTATTCAGAACACTTTCCTACTCAAAGTTGCTCTCCTAATTAGAATCACCTTCCTATCCAGACACTGGTAAGACAGCTTACCACGGCCCTAATTCTTCTAGGGTTTGCATTAGAGTCATGTTAGAACTCCTACTCCCACCAGGATTGGGAGACTAGATAGTCACTATATAAACAGAGGCTAGCCCTCTCACAAGGAGAGATTACAATACACCTTCACACCCGAAGCTCTTACTTAAGAGCTTCACATCACGGCCGTAGTCACAATCTCCGACTAGACTTCCGGTAACCTCTCTACTCCCAAGCCCTCACTATATTAGCCTCTTTCAACCTTGCTGACTTGAGCGTCGGAGTGCCTACGGCAAACACCACCCCGATGTTTTCCGTCGCTTCACGCGTGTTTCTTTACGTGTGCAGGTACAACAGATTGCTATTGGCCTCAACCTCACAAGATCAATCCTTCCTTTCGTACCAGTAGATTTTTACGTCTACAGTTTGGCGCCCATCGTGGGGCCTCTAGCAATCATCCGGCTCAACGAACCTTGCTACGTAGGGGAACTTTCCATGGCTGACAATTCTGACAATGCAAACCCTGACCTCGAGGCCAAACTGGAGGCTTTGACCGCCCTCATACAACAAAACTCGGACAAGGTAGTCGCACTGGAAGCTGAGAACACTGCCATCCGGACTGAAAACGCCTCCATCAGGGCTGAGAACCAGTCTTTGAAAGAAAAGGTAAGCCAGTTTTATGACCTCGACCTTCTGCCTTCTCAGGTACCACCAAATCGGTTCCGCGTCTCGGTTCCATCTATGCAACCTCTCGAAACCCCAGAGCACGGGCTCGGAGTTTCAGATAAAAGGTCACGTCAACTGAATTCATCAGTGGGAGAGGACTCGGTCCTGACTCAGGGAGGAAAAGATCTGCTGACAGAACCCCGCTCAACCGATCCATCACAACCTCCGGACTAAGACGCCTAAGCGACAGAAAACCCGTTCCAGGAAGACCCGCCCATCCTTGCCATTCACCTTAATATTCAGTCCATCCCTACACAAACACCATTCGGCTCGGCTCACCCTCGCGGGTTGAATGGCCGTCCAAACCTAAGTATACCCCTAGAATCCATCCATTCTAGCGGGCCGAACGAATACCAATCAACCCCCCTGACCATCCATGTAGGACGAAACACCCGATCAGTTACAATGGGAGTCACCCCACCAGAGGGAATTAATGGCGATCTGGGCTACCAGGATTTACATGAAGGGGTGATCCACCAAGCTACACCAAGGGGAATGACTCAACAAAATATACCGAGCGCGAATGCAATGGCAGAACCGATCAAACGGGATGACCTAGTGGTATCCCCCTCTCCTATGGAACAGATACTGGCTAAGAGATTGGCTGATGTGGAGGCAATAATGAGGCGAATACCAGGAATGCCGATCCCCACTAAGAAGAGCAGGCCTCACTGCTATGCTGACTCGCCCTTTACGGATGCAATTGCCCTAGCCGACATGCCCCACAAATTTACTATTCCCAACATAAAGCCCTATGACTGCACAACCGACCCGGACGATCACATAGCCTCATATAAACAACGGATGTTCACTATCTCCATACCCTGCGCGTTGAGGGAAGCCTGCATGTGTAAGAGTTTTGGTTCAAGCTTAGCCGGCCCAGCACTTCAGTGGTACACAAATCTCCTAAACGGTTCCATTGACTCATTTGCACAACTCACTGACACCTTTGTGGAGCAATTCGCCAGCAGTAAGAAGCTCAAGAAATTGTCGGCCGATCTATACAGAGTATACCAGAAAAAGGGGAGAACCACTGAGATAGTACGTCAGCAGATTCAACAAGGAGAAAATTTTCATTCCTGCTTGCAACCCCGAGACAGCTGTAGACGCATTCAGGAAAGGCCTCCTCCCGGATGGGGAATTGTACAAAGAATTGACGAAGCTTGGCTGCACAACGATAGAAGATGCCCTGACTAGAGTGGTGATACAAATAAGGTGGGAAGAAGATGAGATGAATCGAGTAATCCACGTCAGGTACGACCCGAGGCAGAATGATAGGAGGCCAGATGCCAGACCGACCGAAACCCGCTACCAACCCCCAGCGCGTCATTTGAACAAAGTTAGGAAACCATATGACCGCCAGCCACAATACGACCGTCAGCCACCCAGAAAGATAACAGACAGATTGGATCAAGCCGATACAAGATACCAGACTACAACCTGAACGTCGAACCCGCCCAAGTGGTGGCGATCATGAAAGGAATGGGATCCAGTGTTAGATGGCCAGGCAAGCTCAATGCCGAAGCAAGAAGAGACATAACTAAGTGGTATGAGTTTCACGGCGACCATGGACATAACACCCCGGATTGCATTGCCCTGCGTTTAGAGGTTGCCACGCTATTGAAGAGGGGACATCTCCGAGATCTGCTGACTGATAAAGGAAAGCACACCATTAGCCAGAAAAGCAGTAAAGAAACTTCTCCACCCCCGCGAGAGTCCACGCCAAAAGGCTTCTGCTCACTCATCTCTAGGGGGTCAGAAATCAGCGGGGTAAGTTATTCATCAGCCAAACGATACGCCAGGGCTAGCAGCCACCATGAGATACAGTCAATCCGCCCAGTTTCTCGGTCACACTCCCATCAGGTAATTCAGTTCGAAGACGACGAGCCGATCACCTAGGTTGCCCCTCATCATGATGCTCTAGTCATCTCTCACCAAATCGCCAATATTCTTGTGAAGAGGGTGTTCGTAGACGGAGGGTCATCAGCAAACATTCTGTTCCTTGCAGTAGTAAAAACTATGGGTTTAGAAGAAGAAAACATCAACAGAAGGCCGACCCTACTAGTTGGTTTTAGTTCTAAGTAGAAGTACACTATCGGAGAGATAGTCCTTCCTATCTATGCCAGTGGAGTAAACAGACAGATATTCTTCCTGCTGATAGACGCCCTTTCACCCTACAATGTTATCTTGGGCCGACCCTGGATCCACAATATGCGAGCAGTCCCATCAACTTTCCACCAAACAATCAGGTTTTCTACCAAATAGGGAGTACGAGAAATCAAGGGCGACCCGAAAGCTTCCAGAGATTGTTACAAGAACACCTTCAAGGGCATGGATAACGCTTCATAGTAACTACAGTCTCATTGAACCTTTCCGACCGAGCTAGTGTTAGTGTATATTAGTGTATGCCCTAGAAACCATTCGTGTTGTCGGTTTCAGAGTATTTTGTCTTGTATCTATATATATCATAAATAATAGAAGAAAGAGTTCTTCAATTCATATATGTAAATTGCTTCCTTTATTCAGTCATGCATTTAAAATAAAGTATGTATATGAAGTCTCAGAGAGTTCATTTAATAGGTAAATGAATTATCGAAAAAGGTTCCCTGCGGAAGCAATAAATTGGGCAACTATATTGTACAGTAGGCATACCGGATGCTTCCGAAAGATATCATGAGTTGATATAAGTACGGATGACGATGATAGTCATGTCACTAGGGTAGGTGGATTAACGGTTGGTGAACTATTTTCGAACGTGACCGAATAACGACAAATCACTTGGAAAAGCATGTAGTCAATGATTTATCGTTGGTATATCAGTGCACGATGTAGTCTTGACCTGAGACATTGTAGTCGGATCTAATATGGATGCGTATGGTTCATACGGTGTATAAGTACGAGACTAATCATGTTTCGACAATAAAGCTATTTGGTCATGCGTTGTTCATATGCGGAAACGAACGATGGTCAAGAGGGGATCCATTGACTCGGAAAATAGGATCGGGAGTACCGCTGACTCCATCCGGATTCGAGTTCCTAGACGAACATCGTAAATGTCGGAACTGATCTCTGGCCAGAGTCTATTATAGTCATAAAAAAGTAGTTGTGATGACAAGTTCCGGACATATTGATCGACAATTCGGTAGAAGATTGAGTTTAGGATTTTGACGTTCCATGAATCCATACTCGATTAGGATATCTCAATGGAGGGACTTTACCTGCATGGTACGTATGATCTGAAATGGGTTCGATGAAGTATTTCTTCATCGTGGTTTAGGGACTATGGCACATTGCTAGAGTTTACCATAGTCGTTGGGCCTCGGACGAGTTTCCGGATTCATCCAGAACAGGTCACGGCTAATCCACGGTGGACTACATGGTCACACCAATAGCCTTGAGAAGTTAGGAATGATGAGAAGAGAAATGATTATCCGAAGAGGGCTAGCACCTTCCGAGGGTATAACGGGATTCTATAGTAATAGTTACATAGAAAACAATTTGTGACATTTTAAGGGTTAAAATGGTCAAGCAATAATAATTATATTTAATTATTTTATCTTAAAGTGTTAAGATTAATGAGATGAACAAAAATAACCTTTAATAGTTAAAGGGTAAAAAGGGTAAATTTATGGGTTGTTAATGTAAACTAGTTTAGTTTACATGGGCCCTTGAATAATATTGATTATTCAAGGGTAGCATATTAAATTCGTGGGGTCCCTTTATAAAATAAGATTTTATTGGGCTTGGAGTGAAAAATAAAATATTGCAAAATAGCCCAAGTATATATAAGTGCAAAAGGTTGCATTTTTGTTCATTATTCACTTGTTCATCCAAACACAAACTAAAAGCTCTCTTCCCTAGCCAAGGCCACTCTCAATCCTCAAGGTGGTGTTAAAGTGTGGGGTTATCCTTTGAAGTAATCTTCATCAATCCAAAGCAAAGGAGTAGGTATAATCTCATATCCAAGCTTTGCATGTAAACCGTTTTTTTTAACATGCTTTCATGCTTTCATTCTCATCTCCACCACTCTTCATGCATGCTGAATCTTAAATGGTATCAGAGCTAAAAGCTCTTGCATGTCGATTTATAAGCTAAAATGGCATTTTCCAGTGTTCATATGTTCATCAAACTTGGTTGAGTTTGATGTTAGGATATGGTTCAAAAATGTTTTTTTCATAGTAGATCTTTACATGCATGTCTCGGCCATAATAGATCGAGGTATTGTTCATTTCTTCTCATTCTTATATGTTTGAATGATGATAATGGTTAATGAGCATGCCTTAGTATGGATGAGTTGTTTGATGTAATAAGCATGTTTGATGCATGTGTATGTCTCGGCCATCTCTTGATCTTTGGAAAAAATGTTTTTCTTCTTGCTCTAATATTGGGTATGTTAGAATATGATTTAAAGCATGTTTGGGATGATTATGCATGAAATGTGTTGAAAATTACATGCATGCATATATGTCATTTCGGCCATGACAGTTTTGCCATAAAAATGTCATTTCATTCATGTATTGATGATGATGTTCTAGGAAATGTTGCATGATGAATCATTTAGAAAAAAGTTCATGCAGTGTCATTTCCATCTTTGATTAAATGGGTTATGCTTTGACATGCTAAATGTGTTATCTTTAATTTGATTAAAGTATATTTGCAGAAGTGTATGCAAATGTTGCAAGTGTTTAGTGGTGGAATTTGATGTTAGCATAAAGTTATGGATTATTCATTCATATGATGAATTATGAATTATTATGATTGTGGTAAATTTAATGTAGGATGTTTAATTTGATTAAATTATCTTATAATGCATCATTGCATGGCATAAATTATTATATTTTGAAATGTAATAATTTGGTTGTTTGAATGGTTTCAAAAAATGATGATGCAAGAGGCATGATTGTCTTTGAAAAGTAAATATGTCATAAAAAGTTTACTTTAGTTAAAAGTAACTTGTGTCATAGAATGATTACTCTTGGAGTAATAAAACCCACTTATCTATGCATGCATGACTTTTGTGAAAAGTATTGAATGATGCTAACAATTAAATAGTAATCTTTGGGTGGAATATGACAAAAGTGTTTGTGTAATGATTCCTATAAAATGTGTAATTGTTGCATGGCCCAAAGTTATAATTAAATTACACCAGAAATATATATATAATATCTATTAATATATGAGATATATTTTATATTTATATTCATGCCTTTAAATAATGTTTATTATATTTGGTATGATGTTAATATTTATTTATGTGATGAATGAATATTGATTAGAGGGTTGATATGGGCGCCATTTGGTTTTCAAAATATTCAAAAGTATTTGTAATATTCTTTATTAAATGGCTTGTAATAATTAAATTTATTTATTTATTTTAATCGGGCCTGCGTGCCTAAGATCCAATATGTAATGGAATCGGCTAGACGAGAACCGAAGAGCATCCGGATGACGATCCAATCGAAGATATAGTATTAGGGTAAATAGTTTGCCTTTGATGTATTTTCGAAAAGCCCCATGGTCAACCCATGCTTTAATTATTGCATATATGTGTATGTATGAATTGTTAATTAAACATGGCATGCTAAAATGAATTAACTAAAGGTTAAACCTAAATCCCCAATTTAAAATTATTAAATCCAAGTCTCCCATTGTGGTAACTAAATTCTTTGATATAAATTTTAATATCCCAAGATTTCTATTATGTGAGGGATACAATCTTTATACATAGAATTAAGTTGATCTTGTTCTTGGATGGATATTTTCACTTGACCAAGAATTCTATTATGTGAGGACATGATGAAAATGCCATCCTAAGAAAGCACAATGGTTCGGATTAACTAGCCTGGGTACCAAGAATCTATTATGTGAGGTATCCGAAGCTAGGACAAGGAATTGAATCAAACCTTATATAGTGATAAAAGGAAAAGAGTTTCCTACTTATTAGACTTAATTAACCAAGAATTCTATTATGTGAGGTTAATTGAATTTGATAAGAAATGATTCCCCACTAAGAAATTTAATCACCGAAAATTTCCGGATCCTATTTAAGGGAGTGTAGGACTCGAATAAAATAGTGGGAGCTAATTTGATTATGCATTAAAAGGTTTAAAGATTACAAGACACTAATAAAATTACTTTTTTGCAGTTTCTCTTGTGATAATAATGAAAATGGCACACATGTTCTCCTAAGGATAAGGACAATAACATGTTAACCGGACCCAACCTAAAAGATTGGCTAAGAAATCTTAGAATTGTTCTGATTTTGAAAGAATTGCTTATGTCCTAGAAGCACCTCTTCCACTTGATATTGGTCAGATGCTCCACAAGCTGAGCTTGATGCTCTTGAAAGTGGGAGAGAGGATAGTAGGAGGGCTAAAAATTACATGTTGCCTCCATGAAGAGAACTTCAAAACTAAGCTGAGAGGTTTCAAATGTTATGATATCTCATAGCTCTACAAGGTGTTTAGCGAAAATCCAAGAGTGGTTGAGTAGAATTGTGTGCATCCCTCTTTAGCATGAAGGGAGGGAAGGGGAACCTTCAGCTGATCAACTCTTAAAATGATCAATGGATTAGATCAACTGGATGGATATGGGGTGGTCATGCCAGACCGCCTCAAAGTGAATTTGATCATCAAATCCTTCCTCCAAGTTAAAACGTTTATAACTAACTACAATCTCAATAGGATTGAGAGAAACCTCTCTGAATGCTAAAGAGCTTAAAGAATTCACAGACAGAATGTGAAAGGGAAGGGACATGAGGATGTTTTTTGCCGCCTCCACTAGCAGGGCCAATAAAAAGCCAAAGTGCTGCCAAAGAGAGGTCCAAAAGTTGGACCCAAGAATAAGAGCTTCAAGAACCAGCGGCAAAGGCAGAGAAGGCCGATGCAAAAGGAAAATGT